CCATTTTGATAAAGTCGATAGGCAGATTCAGGGAACATCATTCAGCGATGCTACTGCACAATATAGGAAGAAAACAGGAAACTCACACTCTGACTGGAAATACCATCCTCATTTTCAGATAATTCAGATGATCCAGAACCTTCCACAAGTGGACTTATTGCCACAACTGACAAAATTCCAATGTCATCCAACTGATTCTCATCACTGGAATAAATCTTTGTTATTTGTGTATTTTTCATGTATGTATGCATGCATGAAAGTTTATATGTCATGTTTCCAGTCCCTCAAAACACATACATACAAATCAGATTCATAAAGATTCTGATAATAAATGACAATGGTAATGAATTTTTTAAAAAGTATTTGATTTACATACATCAAAACCGACTAACCACAGAGTCAACAGAACGGTTTCCTCTAGTCACTTGGAGACAACCTGCACACTCCATCAACGGAGCCTGGTTGTATAGTGAGCTATGCATTGAGCTGCTCACCACAAGGTCAGTGGTTCAAAGCCACCAGATGCTCCTTGGGAGAAAGGTGAGGCTATCTGCTCCTGTGAAGATGTAATGTCTCAAACCCACAGGGCTTGCTCCACTCTGTCTCAGGGGTCACTCTGCGTTGAAATCAACTCGACGGCAGCCAGGGTTGGTTTTTCAGCTTTCGGTATATTCCATCATTGTATGAATATGGCTACAATCAGCGATTGCATTGCTTAAGAATTTTGCGAAAGTTTAAAATAATGTAGTGATAACTTAAACACCGCAAACCAAGTCTACTATCAGCAAGTTGATTCCAATGAATGGTGATGCTAGCAGGTGTCTGAGACGAGAACGTTTCATGGGAGCAGGCAGCCTCATCTGTCTCCTGTGGTGCTGTTGGTAAGTTTGAACTGCTGACCTTATGGTTAGCAGTCCAATGCTCCTCCCCCAGTACCCAGTGCTCCTGAGTGACAGCTTAGTGTTATTCATATATAGAAGCTGCCCCTTCAAAATCTGAAAAGTTCTCTTTCTGAACTTATTAAACATAGAAACCTGTGGAAATCATCATTGTCATCTTTGTCCCTTGCAATGTGACTTACAATGTGTCACATACTGTCCTGAGAACTTTACATACATTAATTAGCTCTTTAGTACTCATTACAACTATGGAGTTCTCGTGGCATAACGGTTACACACTGGGCTGATAACTGCAAGATCAGTGGTTCAAAACCACCGGGCCCTACTAGGGAGAAAGATGGGGCTTGTAACTCCTGTAAAGAGTTAGAGTCTCAGAAGCTCACAGCTGCCGTTCTTTGTTCTATAGGGTACTGTGAGTTGGCACTGATTGAAAGGCCGTGAGCTTATTTTTGCTTTTTCACTCACTACAATACTATGAGCTGGGTGCTATCAAGTTTATAGATGAGGAAGCTGAGGCACAGAGAAGGTAAGTAATGTGCCCCAAGCCACATAGCTAGCTCGAGAAAGGATCCAAGTCTGTGTAACCATCCTAAGCACACTATTGTTTGAACCCACATCAAGGTCGGTTTCGTTTCTTCCAAAGAGTTACTTTTTTGCTTTTACTTCACCCTCAACAAACTCTTTGCCTCAAATTCCATGGAATAACAAAAGAAGTAATATCTACTCCAAAATTGCTGGGGGTATTAAGATACCAGCAAAACTAATTTTATCCAAAACATTTGCTAAAAGGCAATATTTGACCCCGATGACAAGAGCCTAAGTTTTCTTCACACATGTGTCAATATACATCATGAATTAAACAAATATTCCATTCCTTTTGGAACACATTTTCATTCGGACAATCTATATACCATAGGCAAGTTGCTTGTGTCAGAGCAGCTTTAAAACAGCATTATCCTTTGCCAGGAAAATATCTCCTGCCAATGAAAATTTATGAACTTAATTTATGTGAAACAAAGGCTAGGAAAAAGAGTTCGTGTGACATCAGGCACTCTCCTCCGTATTTTATTTTATTCATTCACAAAGTTTGTTGGAGCACTGCATGAGGGGAAATGGCATGCTATGGAGACAGCTGCCCTGAAATACAAATGTCTATGAGTTATTGCGGTCAATAGCCCTGCCCCCGACACCAAGCTCCGGAGGTTAAAGTCTTGGCGCCTTGGTGGCTTTGAGGGTTCCATGTAGAGCTGCTATCTGCAAGACCCGCGGCTCAGATCCATCAGCCTCTCTGAAGGGGAAACATTGACAAACTCTGAAGTCCCAAAGGGCAGTTCTACCCTGTCCTATTTGGTTGATGTGAGTCGGAATAGACTTTTTGGCAGTGAGGGATTTTTTGGTTTTGTTTTTATATTAAAGCTTGACTTTGTCCCTCTGTGGATAGGTAGTCTTGGACAAGCTACTTTGCTCGTGTGTGCCTTAGTCTTCTCTGTTAGAAGGAGATGAGAACAATACATACCTTAAGAGGTGAGTTACAGAGGGCTAACTTTTAAACATGGCAAGTCCTATTTTCCATTTTCTTTATATTAAATTAGGTTCCTGGGTGGCATGGATGGTTGGACTTAAAGGTTTGGGGTACAAACCCACCTAGTGGTGCTGTGTAAGAAAGGCCTGGTGATTTGCTTCTGTCAAGATGATAGTCAGGAGCCAACGAACTCAGGGCCAAGGGAACAACAAGGGATCTAAAGCTGACAACAATGAGGGTATAGAACGCCTGATGGGGATTGATCAATTGTAACGTAGTCAAGAGGAATTTTTGAGATCAGAATGAAGGGTAAACATGATACTGGGGCAAGAGGAAAGTAAAAGGAAAGAGAAGAAAAAACTAAGAGGCAAAATCTATATAGAGAGGTATAAATATAGGCATGTCCATATGTAAATGTATTAATATACAATGATAAGGTTATCAGTCGCTGTACATATATTTATATGTTAAAGTATTAAGGTAGCAGAAAGACTCTGGGCCTCTACTCAAGTCTTCCCTCAACCCAAGAACACTTTGTTCTGATAACCTGGCACTGGGTGATACTTACCTTCCTAACATAATCAATTGCTAAAGACAAAATGGGTGCATAAGCAAAGTTGGTGAAGAAAGCTGATGGTGCCCGCTATTATAAGATATAGTATCTTCCAGGATTATAAAGGCTTGAAGTTAAACAGGTGGCCAACTAGTAGGGAAGCAACAAAGCGCACATGGAAGTAGTGTACTAGCCTGTGTGATTATGAGATGTCGACCACATCAGGTATCAGAAGATCAAAAACAATTATATCGATGTGAAGGAGAGGGGTCAGAGTGGAGACCCAAAGCCCATCTGTACATCTGTACATTCCCTCACAGAAGGGCCACAGGAAGGGACGAGTTAGCCAGGTGCAGTATAGCACCGTTGAAACACACAACATTCCTCTAATTCTTTGATGCTTCCCCTTCCCCTCCTATCATGACCCAACGTCTACCTTACAAATCTGGCTAGACCAGACTATGTACATTGGTACAGATAAGAGCTTTCAACACATGGAAACCAGGACAGATAGGCCCCTCAGAAACAGTAACAGGAGTAGTGATACCATGTGGGTAGGGGAGGATGAGTGCGGAAGGGGAGGAAGAGGGAATTGATAGCAATGATGGATGTACAAACCCCCCTCCCACCCCCCGAGGTGGATGAATAACAGAAATGTAGGTGAAAGGACACTGTGGATGGTGAAAATTATGGGGGGAAATTTATTAAGGGTTCATGAGGGTGGGAGGGTAGGGAGGGGAAAAAAGAGGAGCTAACATCAAAGGGCTCTAGAAGAAGGATAATGCTTGGAAAATGATGATGGCTTAATATAATGGATTTATGGATTGTTATAATATCTGTACGAGCCCGCAATATAATTATCAAAAAGACCAGCAAAGAGGCTGGTCAGGAAAAGCCTAGGGAGCAGTTCTAAGGAGGTACACACAGGGCCACCTTGAGTCCGTGCAGACTGGAAAGCAGTGCTTGCTGTCTGCTTTTGTTTTCTGGATAGTAAATCCATGAGAAAAGTAAGGATTCAGAAGAAATCTTTGGAAGAAGAAGGTAAGATGTGATCCTTTTTGGACGTTTGCTGTAACCAGCTGAAGGGCCCGATGGCGCCTGAGACGGAGACCATGTTTCTCTGGAGTCTCGGCCACACTGTGGTGACTGAGGCAGGGCCGGGACTGGACGTGGGGTGTAAAGTGCTGGTGACAAGCTGGCATACGGTTTTACTCAGAGAAATCTCAAGATCGTGAATGATGAGAGTCCTTGAGTGGGGGTGTAACTCAGGGGTGAGCTGGGACCCTCAAACAGGTGCCGAGAAGATTGGAAGTTATGGGGGAGGCTCCCAACGTCAGCATTTATTGTATTCAATGTGTGGATTCACCAAGCGTTTATTCAGGCGCGGTGCAAGACACCCAGGATCCACAAATCAATAAAAGCGGCGCGGAGACCAAACAGATAAGCGCAAGAAGCGAGCCAAGGGTCATGGTGCAAAGGTGACATTTGGGAGGAAGTGACCGTGTCTGCCGGGGACGGGTCATGGACAGACTTCTCAGCGGTCAAACACGCGGACTTGTACACAGCCCTTGTACGCAGG